ATGCAATATATAGAAATATTGTTGTTAGGAATTTGGCGATCGGGGGACTGGAGTGACCGACCGCAAGCGTTTTATATAGGCCCGCATGGCGCGCATAATCAACTGCATGGCCATGATACTGGCCGCGGTCGTTTGGGTCGGTGGCACCGCAAAGCCAAACATGGCCAGGGTCAGCGGATCTATCAAACACATGAGTATTTCTAGGTCGAGCAACGGGTAGACAGGCACATACTTTCCATGCCGCCCAGCACGAACGAGTCGATGTTGATCTCGCTCTGGTCAGACTGCATCAGGTACTTGCCGTACAGCTTGACGACGTTCTTCTCGTCCACAACGCGCTGACAAAATGACTGGCTGGTGGATGCCGATTCCTGCAGCGTCTTGTGGCAGTGCACAATGAATGCCCGGAACTCGTCGTAGCTCAAGCTCTTGCTTTGATCCGTGTCAAACTGGACAAACATCCGGCGCATCTCATCTTCCATCATCCGTCGATTCGACAGCCAAATGTCCAACACCAAATCCATGAACGCCCCGAGCCCTGCCCGACGTGTTAGGTTGCATATTCGTTGGAAGGGATGCTAGCCCACCGACGACGTAGATGGGGCTGCCGAGCACCGTCTTGCGCGGACACAGCACTCGACACTCGCGCAGCGTGGCGTACCATTTGGCTTCGTCGATGTTGGCGTCGCTTGCGATCGTACGTAACGCCATGACGGCTTTTTTCACATACAGCGGGTAAAACACATCGCTAGGGATGTAGTAGTCGGCTTGTTGCGCTCGATTCGGCACTGCAAACTGCAAGCATTGCAATGCCGACACGTAAAAGGTAAAGCAATCCGACGGCAATTGTTCGGCAATCTAACCCCAAGGCCGCCATATGAATATGACAAAAGGAGGGGGTGTCGATACAAGTTGTACGAACGCCGCAAAACCGACAAAAGGCAAACATACACCCACGTGTCCTTGATACAGTATTGTTCGAGGGCGGTGATCAGTCCTTGGAGTCGGTGCCTTGTATGGGCGCCAAACTGGAGCGTCATGTGCTGCACCACAAACTCGACAAAGTCGTACGCGTCTGCCGGGCAGTCATACTTTCAGTGATTACGCCGGCATCGCCAGTAACATATCCAAGGGGGCAGTTTGAAATTACGTACCAATACGCTGCTTGGCAGCTGCATGATACAACCCCCAGAGAAACGGTCGGATTACAGTCAGCGGCATCGGTTGGATGGTTGTATCCCGTGCTTTAATGTGTGTCTCCTAAATTTAATTTTTTTGCTTATTATTCGTTGATACCATCGTGCAAAAATCAAGGATCCACTGAAGATACAGACTTTACAAGTATTTAGTGCTCGATTATGGTGTCGTGGTGCAGATATGTTGATCACGGCTGGAAAAATAGAACCACGACGGTTATGTCGTCGTGCACACGACGTCGTTCTTTCCCTGGTTTCAAATAGGCAATGTCGTTCCAATCCACACTACAGTAGAATCGTTGAGTTGTGAAGTTCGAGTCTTTCTTCAAATCCGAGAAAGGGAGTAGTCGATATTCAAATCCGAGAAAGGGAAAACAATATAAATATTGTAGGAAACAATCAGTACTACAACGTACTTGACATTTTTGGCAGTCGTGTTGATCACCTGGTTGACCAATGCCTGGGCGGCTAGTTCGTGCTCGCCACGAGATACATAATCAGCGACAATTTCCACCGCCTACACATAGCATTTTAATGCCATGGTCTTTAAAGTATAAACAAATACTACGTAGTATTATTGTCGTACTTCTTCGTTGGATACGTCACCCCATAGTCCATCGCTTCCTAAACGTATACACCGGTCCATTCTCCTTATATACTTTCACGACGCATAATTGCGCGACTTCGTATCAGGTTCACTGGTTACAAGTATGTAAACTACATTGATATATATATACATATCATAATTTAATATATATATGTACATATACGTATGTGTACCCAAAATGAGAAATTGGTCGGCATCCCGTCAGTGTATGCACTTGGATTTCCGGAACTGCCAGGATGTACGGCGGTGTGTATGGCTGCGGGATGAAGCGACCATCGCCTTTATACTTGGGACCGAGAGGAAACTTGTTGAATTCTTCATATTTGTAGACAAAGTCGCCCAACCCGCTACGAGTAGCTTGTGGCCATGCATTGACTTGACAATGTTCTTACCGTGTAGGCTGCAAGCCGTCTTTGACGTAGCACGCGTCGGGCGAATGGCAGACGACCACGTCGGTCTCGTTTGGATGTTCTTTGAACAACCGAGCTTGCTCGGACGCATGCTTAGCGTTGTGGTCGGTACTCAGGGGTGTTGCCACCAGCCCCCGCGAGGTATTGTTCGACGCCAGCACCGCCCTTACGTCGCCGGCTACGATGATTGTTCGTGGATTGGACATTGTACGATAATGTGCTTACCGTTGGCCACGACCAAAGTGTCTCCTTTTGCATACGACAGCATTGTGCACGCTCCAGGACGATTCACTAGCCCGAATCCCAACTGAAAGGTTGGAAGCAGGCGGCCGCGCAGCGCGTCGTCGGTGGCCACGAACGCTCTCGACAATGATGACTTGATCTGCATGCAACCACAAGCATACCGTAAGATAAGCACGACGGATAGCTCATGTTACGTGGGCGAAGTTGTTGGAAGAAACATTTCCAAGCAGCGCGGCGGCGTTGTCGATCAAGTGCTGGTTCACGTACTCGGCCACCTGCCATCCCCTGTGGCCGTCCAAGACGGACGCGAACACTGCGTCGAAGTCTACTCGCACTACGTATCGATCCTACGCACGACGATGAGAGCATGACGTGATGTCGTGTCTGACTTCGTTTGGGTCCTTGGCTGCGTACGACGCGGCGTCGTATCGATGTACGCGTGCCACGGGCGAGGCCATGACAAATCTTTCGACGGCGTCGAAGTTGAGTGGAATTGGTTCGTCCGTGCTGCTCTGGCCGTTTGCAAAACAAGATGGTTCGGTGCATGATGTCCACACCAAGAAAATCGCCACCACCGCCGCAATCTTCATTGATTGATAAAGCAGTCGGAATAAATTAGCCCCTGGTTATATGGTTAAGTTATTTTGACCAAGTCATGATTTTGGTTGACCATATTACCGTACCGCACATAATCGTCACGATGCAGCAAATGGGTGGAAGCGTGAGGGATAGATTCGGTAGGTAGCAAGCACACTAGGAGCGCAGAGTGTCCGACGCAGGACAGATCACTCAGGGACAAGGTGGGAAAACCAAAAGTGAAATTGTGGACAACAAACTAGTCCTAAGTACAGACAGAAAACCAGGCAAGAGGTGGAGAGAACCAACGCTAATTTTCCTGCTCGGCCATGATTCATGGATGTTCGTCAGAAAACATCATGTCACAAAACCAACAGTGCTGAGAGAACACTGGCGATGAGAAGTGTAGAAGAAACCCCAATGAATCGGCTGTAAACACCAAAGGGATGTCTGGTACCAGTATGGTTATTTACTGTAAGTAGTACTCCGGAGTACTGTACAGTAGTATTGTAGTACTAGCTTGTACGTACCACTGTAGAAGTGGTTTGGGGATACTACAATATACTGTAAATCGGAAATGTCACCACCAGCTGGCTACACAACTGTAGAATTTGAGAAAGTACAATTCCCCGCTTGTTAACAGTTCCACTGCTTCTTTTCTCAAAAATTGATGTTAAATATATGGGACTTAATGTTAGTATACTCTGACCACCTCGCCTCTTACTAGGGCGTAAGTGCACTCAGTAGTTAGCGATAGCTAACCACTGGTGATGCAGTTAATCAAAACAACAGTGGAACTGTTAACTTTAAATGCATGATTCTGTACGAAACAAAAACATACAACTTAACAGATATCAATATTCGAAAAGTGATGGTTAACGACCTCTTTCAAGTAGCGTCGTTATTTTAACCCAAAATTCGACGAAAACTAGAAATATCGATGATTGATCGAAATTTCATGCACGACTGACTCCGGATGAAATAAAACTATAGCCGCACCTGAAAATTTTCTACTCTGGTTGATTTTGTTCATTGTGTGATCGAGCCGAAAACACCGTCGAATTAGACTAGTAATTGAATGTTATCGCAATCACATGACACATGTCAAAGCATAATATTTAAAAAGAAGGAGTAAAAACAGTGATTTTGACCTGGTGCACAACTATAGCCGCACCACACATTTTGTGCTAAATTGTATGATTGGCTAGGATTTTTAACGTTATAGATATTGCAAAATGACGAGGAATGTCGATTACGTGTGTAACAACTCTAGGCCACTCGACAACATGCCCAGAGGCAGTCGGTTGACAGCCGAAGAGGTGGGCAAGGCCAAAGCTTTCTCTTCGCTTGGGAAATCCAATCGATGGATCGCCAAGGAGTTGGGGCGCAACGAGAAGGCCATCCGCAACCTTTGGAAGCAGTCTGAGCCCCAGAACAAGTCCAAGAAGCCTGGACGGCGACAGGTGTTCAAGCGGCGCGACGTGCGACGAATCTTCCGGCTTGCCATCCACAAGCAACAAACGTCCCGAAAGATTGCTGCGACAATGGCTCCAACCGTGAGCCACACCACCATCATCCGCATCCTCAAGAGCACCAAGTTCGCGAAGTACCGTAAAAGAAAGTCAGGTCCAGCGTTGACACCGGAGCACAAGAAGAACCGATTCAAGTTTGCAGCTAAGTACTTGAATAGATCAATTGATTGGCTTTTTACCATCTTTTCTGATGAGAAAAAGTTCAATCTAGACGGCCCCGATGGCTTTCAAAGCTATTGGCACGATACACGGATCCCGCCGGAGATGTACTCCAAACGCGTTAGCGGTGGTGGAAGTGTAATGGTCTGGGGGGCCTTTTCCAACGATGGGATGAGTCAGCTCGCGTTTCTCAACGGTCGCCAAGACTCCGTGTCGTACTGCGAAACGTTGGACAACTACATGCTGCCATTTTATCATCAATTGTGTGGCCTCCATCAAGATCGTACCATTGTGTTTCAACACGACAACGCCTCCGTGCATGCCTCTGCGTTCACGAAGGAGCATCTCAGCGATTTGGGTGTGGAGACAATGGCGTGGCCGTCCAAGAGCCCGGATTTGAACCCCATCGAGAACGTTTGGGGGGTTCTGGCGCGCGCAGTCTATGCCAACGGCCATCAATTCGGTTCGGTGGCGGATTTGAAGACCAAGATTGCGTTGGAGTGGGATCGTATCACGTTGGAGTATTGCAAGACGCTTGTCGATAGCATGCCAACTCGAATGGCCCAAGTGATTCTCAAACGGGGTGCTGCAATTGACTATTAGTCATTGCCTTCGTAATGCGGCTATAATTTTGCACCAACAAAAATAGTGAAATCCGCGAATTTAACTTTGAGCATATTTCGTGTGGGTAATCTTGCATCACTGGTCGCCTAGCTATTCCACTGCAATACTATATAGCACGTAGGGCTGGCTTGAAACGGCTTTCCACGTTATGAAGACTAAAAATTGTAGGTGCGGCTATAGTTTTGTTCCGGACTGTATGTTACACTACTACAGTGGCTTCAAGAAGTTCCACGAGCTCATCAATTCTCTGAAGTGCTTCCGATCCAGAGACACGAAGACCAGCACCCACAAGTTCCACAATATCATCGACACGTTGCTCGTCCTCTATACGTCTCTCCATGGAGTCAATAGCCAACAAAACCTCTTCGTCACATGACGGGCGCAATTCCCGAACCCCCGCTTTCATCTGTATGTCCTTCTTGAGGTGGGGGATCTTGTAAATGTGATATCGTTGATTGATATATGTTGAAGGAGAGCATCAAGTGTTTCATCTCTCCATGGCCAACTCTTCCGTTCCTCTTGAGTTGAAGTAGCCGATGGCAAACCGCCGACCGTTGGTCGACGGTGAGTTCTGGTTGCGCCTTGAGCTGAATGTCGCAATCGTTCTTCTTCCCTGCTGCCATGACTTCAGCATCGTTTACTGCTACATATAGCCTCGCATTGTCGTGCTGCACAAAGATCGTGTCGCTACGGCGCCCAGACAATTTGCTCTGAATTGATGGGATGACCTTGTCGACGAGGAATCGTCGATACACAGGCTTTGTCAATATCATTGGTACGGTCACAGGTGTGCCTCGCTCACGCTTCTTGCTTAGACGCTTGGCCAGTTGGGTCTCCACGAAAGGCCAGAGACCAACTTTGCCGTCCCACATACAGTTGTGCTTGGTATCGTGTCTTGGTCGGGACACGGCACACAGAAACATCATTTACGTGATGTGGCGTTTTGATTAAGCCTTTCGTTGAGGAACCGGTTCATCGTGCCAAAGATAGAATCGGCGGTTTACTTCGGTAATGTAAAATCATTTCTACGGAACGGAGGAAGTATCTTGGTTCTTTCGAATGTATCGACCTACGGAGTCCTGCTTGCTGGAGTACACTGTACACTGTACACGTACTATACTATGTGTACATACTCCGTAGTATTATAGTACGTTCAATATTACGTGGAGGAATTACGTGTACCTTGGTTACTTTGCTTTGCGCAACATAAGCCACTCATCAGGCACACTTCCTCGGTACTTGCTAGCCAACGACACCGAAGTACAGTAAACACTCCGTGGACATTGCAGGGAGCGTGACCATCCACTGTAAATATCCCTAGCGCTGGAGTTCACGTGCACTGCTAGATTTGCATTGATAACTCACTGGTGCGCAGTTTGCCACCATAGAATAGGTTTGCGAGTTGTAATTGCTTCCCATTGTCTCAATCAACTCTGATGAGTTGCATTCGTGTTTAGTGGACCCGTGAGGTCGCTCGCAACAATATAAGTGACCTTAGTAGTTGTAGTATTGAAAGTATGATTATTTAGTGTTGTGGTGGAAGGGAGCACACATTGAAGGGAGGTCGCTGTTATAAGCATCGCCACTGTGCAGATGCTAGCAGTGGGGATGCTTGTAAACACTGTGTGCTAACAAGTGCGGTAGTTCACTTTGCGAGAGTAAGTGGATATGCAGAGCTGGAGAACGTGGTTAGTGTCGTTTGTTGAATTAGGGGCAATTGGAATCACTACTGGAGGTAAGGTGGTGTTGACGTAGCTACAGTAATGTTCAATCAGGACCTACCTCATGCGCAACCATTACTCTTAGCCGCATTCGTGCGTTATATACGTCGCAAACGTTATTGTGTGGAATGGGCTACAAAAGGGATCCCACCATTGGTCCCCATGCATCATGGCGGGGTGCCGGCTGACTGCCACCGACCACAACAGTACTCCTGCTGGTTCGTGCAGTTTTACTTATGTGATCGACACCGATTCGTGTGCAATGTCGGCTCGGCAGTATTTCAACAACTAGAAAGCCGTACATGTTACATGTTAGTGATATGTTGCTGCTGCGACAACCGCCTCGTCCAATCGGATTGTCAAAAAATACTGACCAATCCGAATTCAATCATTTGTCGGTCATCCAATCACGGGGCCGAATTTTGTCGGTTTTGTGTCGCGTCTGTAGTTTAAATAATTGTAACCAGTGAAGCTGATATGAAGTCACGCAATTATGCGTCGTGAAAGCATGTAAGGAGAATGGACCGGTGTATACGTTTAGGAAGCGATGGACTGTGGGGTAAATTGTCCAACGAAGAAGTACGACAATAATATTTGTTTATACTTTAAAAACCATGGCATTAAAATGTTATGTGTAGGCGGTGAAAATTGTCGCTGATTATGCATCTCGTGGAGAGCACGACCTAGCCGCCCAGGCATTGGTCTACGAGGTGATCGCCAAGAATGCCGAAGGATTGAAGTATGTTGTAGTACTGATTGCTTCCCTACAATATTTATACTATTTTCCCATTCTCGATTTGAATATCGACTACTCCCTTTCTCGGATTATAATAAAGCCTCTACTATTACCTTCCCGCCTTGGACAAGGTCGTTATACTATAGGTATATGGCCTCAACATGGACGATGCGGTTGAAAATGACTAACTTGTTACTGTTCTATTGTGTTCATTGATGTAAGAAAAATCGATCATTCGCATCTGAAAACTTGTATCACTTCTCAGCGAAGGTTGTACAGTTTCGTGTATTTTAAAGTCGTTCGGTGGGGTTGTAAAAACTGTAAATAATCCGGATAGAACTGTAAAATAGCATTTCCAGTCGCACCGAAGCTCTGAGGTGCAAATATTGACGCAGTATTAATTACACCCCAACCATACATGTTTGGTCGACCATACCAACTCTGTAGGATGAAATCGGATGAACCAGTAATACAGTAGTTTACAGTACCTGCGAGTATGTAAAATACCCAATAATCCTCGGCGTTCAATACAATCAGGATGCCAAGCACTGTATGCAGTTACGAGAAGTGTGCCTTTGCCCATAACTATTTCAGTTCGAATCCAATTCGAAAGCCACACCCCTCACAATACGCACG